TTCTCCGCCGCTGCCCAAAACACCGAGTTGTGCTGAACTTCATCAAACCAAAGCGACCACGATGCAAGCGGCCTATAAAAGGACAGTGAACAAGTACTGAACATCGAAACGCGACTACTATGCGCTTCTCTTCGATGCAAACAAGACAACATGCACATGCAACTGAATAAGTGCAAGTCGAAGGAATCTTACTGTGTTCAGTATATGGAGGATTCCCCCTTGGAGAAGTCGAAACTTTCAAAACCTATTAAACCATTTGCACAAAGCAGCTTCAATTGAACAAAGCAAAAGCGTTTACAACGATAGGTGTTTAAAAGAAGCTGTTTACTATGTGAATGCCAATTTATATGTTAAGTCTTATCTGTTAAGGTTATGAAAATGTTTGGCTGAGTAGATTGAATGTCAATTTGACCTTTCCAGGCTCTGAAGAAGGCGAAACCGCCGAAACATCAGCTATTTTATGGTAATAGATTCTATAATACCAACCTCGCGTTTGCTCTGTGCGGTTAGTATCCACGTTACATACTCCGTGGAAGAGTTGTAGAAAACTTTGAGTGTGCCAAGAAATTAGTTATACGGTTGAAATCTTGATTTAGCATTTTCTCCGTTTGGTTATGGAAGTATTTGGCTGGGTAGATTGCAGTTAACTTGATCCAACCAGGTTCTGAAGAAGGCGAAACCGCTGAAACGTCAACTTCACTATAACAAAGAATAAAAAATAAAGAATGAAGTAACACATCGTCTTAACTCAACGAGAATATGAAATTATTTGACCAAAGCCGAGGTTAATAAGAAGTTAGTCGTGAGAATTACATTTAATTTAAACAATTCTCTAACACGGTACCCCCTTGTCGAATCTCCTGTCCCTACGTCGATTTTGATAGCGATATTCCGGTTGTGAAGTTGTTATATAGTTCAGGCATAGTGTCTAAATACTCACTGCAAACGACCAGGCTTCCTATAGCTTTCACGGTCACTTCTGCCTCGACGATTTAAATGTTTTTTTCTAAGTTGATAAAAGCGAGACAAAACGGTCTCACACTCAGCGCTCAACGGTCAGCGCTTGTAAACGACAGACAGTAAAGAGATTGAGTGGTAGCCGACAATGCCGTTTTAGCCGAATTAAAATATCTGAAGAACCTTTCAAACCGACCGTCGTGTTAGCTCGACATTAATAACCAATACCTTTTTGGATTACTAAGTTAACAATCAATCCAAGAAGATATTGATTATTCCTGCTGAAGTCTCTCTTCTTGTCCAAGAACACGGTCTCGGTGGTTTTTCAGGTCTTAATGAAGAGTGTGAAAGGTTTCTCAGATGTTTTAACTTGATCCGGAACAAGTGGTGTATAGTTCTTCAGCGAGGAGATACCATGTGCGATCTCGCAATGAAGAAGCACTAGTACCATATTTCCTTCCTCTTTAATTCCACATAAAGGCAGGAAGATGTAGCTGTCGAAGAGGTTGGCGTTGTAGTAAATAATGTTCTCCACTGTCCTTTAGTCAACCGTAACCATCCCATCTGTCCCAGAAACCGACCGTTTAGATGGTTCCGGAATTTCGTTTCTTGGATTTCGCGGATCACTTCTTCTATCCGCGAAAAATAAATCTTGCTCGAAGAAGACGATTGTCAGATTCCATGTAAAATCTAGAGACAACAGCGACATCGATTAACTATGATTTGGAATACTCCATTATTGTCCTCTCCACTGGAAGACTTAAATGTCCAACGTTAAAGAGTTGGGTTCGCGGAATTGTGAGTTTCTATGGTCTTGGTCATCATGATAAACTCAGACAGCCATTCACGCTCATCAATCGGTTCTAACCCGTGTGCCTCAATGCGAGGTTCTTCAGACGTTCTCCTGGGGCCAATCATAGTGTTGAAATTTATAATGATGGTCTAAAAGAAGGTATGGTATTATACTGAATTTCTCCAAATGCATATACAAAGTTTCCAGCTCGAGCCTGTCACAGCTCTATGTTGGTAGCTAAATGAAGACAGTCAATGTTGCCATTAAACGAAACCTCTTTAATCGATAGCGCTCGATTCAGGTTATTAGTTGCTCGAATGAATTCATGTTCATGGCGAAACTCGTGTTGACTCCTCTTTTATCGCATGCTCCGAGAAAAAGTTCTTCTCCTGTGTCACAGACGGCATGGAATGGTTGGCATCTTCCTGTCTCACCTAATCTGATCACATCTCATGAAATCCTTTTAGCTGGTTTCATTAGTTCTTCAGTTAGGAACTCAGGTTATTACATCACTCCCACCCTATTCAAGTAGCTTAGAATAGTGCTGACATTTTAGCAGCCCTTATGTAATCACCATACCAAATGGTGCCGCATAGGGTGTTGTTTCATGCTCAGAAGAATGAGACCCATTTATTTCATTCTGTTTACGACTGACACCTAGGGGTAAATTGTACGTACAAATCGTTACATCAAATTTTTTCCCCGAACTTGTTTCTTTTGAATTGCAAACTCGTGTGGTCTCTGGATATACACACGGCTACTTTACCGCTCTCCCAAGGAAGACATGATGCTTGTTTGTTAAAGAAGACTCCTAAACAGCTCACATGTATTCCACAGTCACCTGCTGGCAAGCCGTTGGCCAAATTGCCATGTGGAATACCACCTGCATTTACGCCAACACACCCATGCACGTATGCATGAAAATGTCTGTGTAAATTTAGAAGTTATATGAGAAATCGGCAGAACGGTAAAGGAAATCAACCTTCTGGATTCACCTGCTTCTCGAGGTCGTTTTTGTTTCCAGTTTAACTCCTCATCAATCATCATCTCTGTACCCGCCCGTTTATCCTCGTGAATAAGCTGCTGAGGAGCTCTCACTGAGAAAGACGTGTAGATGCCGAAGCATAAAAACAGTTCTGTTGCGTTGTTGGTGGAACTCCGAAGAAACATACTGATTAGTTTTCCCTAAAAATCACACTGATTCCTTCCCTACTGAACTTCACAAGCATGCAGAAGCAATGTATAGCTGAAGTCCACAACGCAAGCAAATTCTTTACCCATCCAGATTTGTCGCTACGTCATACGTAGTCATTCAAGCATATAGCGGTTGTGCATAGGTATACTCTATCCAAAATTTCGAATCACAAAAACCCAGCAACGAAATAAGTGGGAAGCACACGATGGGTGAGTATTAAAACGATGGCGACTTCAGCAAATAAGTTTGACATCTCTATTCTCTCACGGTCCCAGAGGCTAACAGTGGGTATATCTAACACGGCAAAATTGAAGGAGCGAGTCACTATGAAGCTGTCCGACCAAGAATACGAAAAAAATAAAACGTCTAGAATGAAAAATATCACGGTATTCGCATGCCTCAGGCGAGCGCATTGTGATGAGCAGCCCGGGTGCGCAACCTGCACAAATGCCGAGTCTATTGCAGTTCGCTCAAGCCATTTGATGATTAACGAAACTACAATTAATACAGGTGATGCGGCTCTCGGATCAATAATTACATAAGACTTTGGACATTGCATTGACAGTGTCGTAGAAACCTCTGCGCCAATGTTGAAGGTAACTAGCCTAAGAAGCTCGTTTTGCTTCACCAGCTCCCGAGACCACGTAGATTACTTGAATCTGGCGCCAAGTTTTATCGATTATCGATTTCTATGAAGAATATGCAGCGCACAAATCGATATTCACCAGCTATTCTTATATCGCCAACCAAATTAGTGTATCGACGTCGATGAACTGATGTGACGAGAACCGTGCACATCCGGAAACAGTTTCATCTGAGAACGTAAAAGCTATAGTCGAGTAGACAAAATCTTCAAAAAAACCAAGTGAGAGTGAGGGAATAACAAAGCAAAGCCACATCAAATAAACACTACCACTACTTTATTAGCAAACAGCTGCTGATTGAAAGAAGCTAAAGAAGTGGACAGTGGAGAAATCGATTGCCGCCATAAAACTGTCCAAGGTGACAGAACCAGATGAGAACTGCATTCTTTCGCCACACTAGAGAATATCAGTAAAGATCGTTAGTCAAAAAGTACTTCAGGGAAATTTTCACAAGTTTTTGAGGCAGTTCAAAAGCAGTTAAAAAATCTCCTTAATAAGCGAATAGATGTCGATGTCGATCAGATACTAACTCAATTCAATTTCATTCGTTCAATGGATTGCTTAGGAAGAAACCAAAACAACGACGGAATCAATGTTCTGTGGTTATCAAAACAACTGGTATTGGAGCCATAATGCCGATCGCTCAAAGAAAAAAGAAACTCCCAAGAAGAGGAGAGTACCTCATTCAGAAAACAACATAACATAATGTACAGAATGTTTATTTGACTGTGAATTAAGGATTGAATTTGCAGGTCACTGGTGTTCTGTGCACACAGAAAAAGAGATATCAGCAGAATCCGGTCAATGAATTCATTTCCTTTGGACGGCTAAAATCCATGCGACCATCTCAGTACAAAGTAAAAACCACACCTGAACAAGGGTCAATTCATTAGCCAACTTTTAAAGCGCCGCACTATTGATCTTAAAACAATAGTTGTTAAGAAAATAGCCGGGTCACGTGAGATAGCAAACGTTTATGGAGCGCGAGAGCGTACAGGAACAGAGCAAAGTAACCTTGCAATGTTAAAAATTCAGATTCATGACGCGGAATTGTTCTAAATGAACGAAAATCACAGGAAGGTGTAGTTTCTCAAATAACTGACAGAAAAGATAAACTAAACAGAAAGTCAGAATGAAGAGGGATAAACTAGCAAAGAAAAATGACTGGATTGTCGAAAATAGTTCATGATCCAAACATGATATACAAACTGAAGATGTTGCAAAAGTAAAGAAATCGAAGTAACGGCAACATGACAGAAGCCAAATTAAAGACTAGCTCATATGAACATGCAATGAATGATACAAAGGAAAATCTCATTTACCACAACACCGAAATGCAAAGTATCTCGAGACAGCAATCCCAATGTTCTTAAACACCATAAGGAAAACCGAACTCCGGTGATAAATGGGTTCAGCAACATCCACTAGATCCGCCAAGCCCTCCAGAAGCATTTCCACCAGGCGAATTTGGAGAGTTTGGAGAATGCTGAGGACCCAGTTTAATTCCATTCGCCTAGAAGTAATCACAAGTATAAACTCAGAGCACTTGCTGAATGTTATAGTCCTACCTCATTGTTTATGTCGAAAACACCTTCTTGTATTTTTCTGTAAATCTCCTTCGCTGTATCGATGAATGCCTTAAGAAAACAATTAAAATACTATTAAAAACACTGACCAAGCTAATTTACTTCAAAATAAATATACGGGGGCGCGCAGAGCAGTTACAGTGATGGTGGTCAATACGAACATAGTAGTGGTTCGACCGCACTCCGAGTTCACCAAACTTCCGATCTCTTCTTGGTCGGAAAATTGGTACCAGTCTTGCCTGGTGCTCTGTTTCTTTGTTGCTTGTTGGTGTACAGCGGCTAACCGCCTCCAGTCCGCAAAATCTGGCGACTCCCTGTGATTAATTCCTAACAACACTCTAGCTTGGCCATCCTAGAAATCGAAGGAGAGTGGACACCACAACCATTTAAAGGCATTCATAAAGAAGACCAAAAATCCTTAAGCAGCAGCTAAGCCTGGGAACCTGAAGACTTTCGTGGACAACCGATTCGAGGAAACGAACAGAACTGACAGAAATGTTGGGATTCGCAAAGTGGTAGTGATACTTACTCAGTATGCGCGAAGCGCTGTTTCAATCCTATCCTGGATCCATCGTCTCCAAACCCTACGGGATCGAAAAATTGGTATTAAGATTTGTGTAGGATCCGACAGATGTCTTGTTTCCCACACTTTTCCAAACACTACCAATGCATTCCATCCACATTCACCATATGCACACACAGTGAATTGAGACCATCCGTTTTCAGTTAAACTGTATTCGTTCTGCAATATGTGTTCATACCCAGTTCAAGCCTGCACCTCGGTGATAGTGGACATAATGTAACAATCACCGCTGTACCATTTATCTCGCACCCATTGTCAAAAATTCTTTTCCTCTCGTCGATTCCTGCCATCGACTGCCGTGATTAGCAGACTATCTAAAGGTTGCTCCTCGAAGTCTCGCATACACCTTAGAAACATCCTGGAGCCTCAGGCCAAGCCTTAGACCACGAACAAAGGCTTAGAGATAGGACTGGGTTTAAATACATGTTTGGAGTGCTTTAAGTTACAAAGCACAATTTTTACAATCATCGTCATTTTAAGCCATGGCTCATTTCACTACAACCATGAATCAAAATTGTTGCCATCACGACTGTCAATGAACTCTCACATTTTTTTGAATTCTTTTCTTCGTCAACCAAATCTACACGAATGGGTTTGAAGGAAAAGATGCAGAGTAAAGTAACGAATCTAAGTCATAAACAACATCTGAATTGTAGAGCTGGAGATGGAGAAGCAGTAATAAAAAACTGACACCGTTCTTTCTTAGCGCCCAACAGCAATATTCAACAATAATGCGTTGCGGAGCCATATGGAGAATTGCCGCCCCATACTGTCAAAATCTGTCCCAAGTTTCGAGGAGGAATGTATTCGACCAGTACGCAACAACATTCATGAGAGAGACCAAAATTCCTCAAGTAGTAGCCGAACCCACAAATCTGAAGACTTTCGCGGACAACGGATGCAAACTCGAATCAAATGCAACAAATGTTGGGATTCGCACAGTATATTTGGTGTCGAATCGTGTAAAATATGAATTTTGGACTGAACCTCCTCAACATTAGCAGCTGTCTTTGCACTGGTTTCCATAAATACTAGACCATGTTCTCGAGCAAAAGCTTCGCCTTCTTCTCGTTTAACTTCGCGTCGAGCCTCAAGATCACTGAAATAACATGGAATACTTTAGGACATTTCAAAACACACAACTCCTATTCTTCAAATATGTGTGTAAAGAGAAGTAGAGTAATATTTCCTTAAAATCACACACGAAGTTATCTCTTACCTCTTGTTTCCGATAAGCATAATCACCATGTTGCTATTGCTGTGCTGCCGTGCATCTTCTAACCACGACGTCAAATGATTGAAAGTATCCCGCCTGTCAAAAATGTGTCAATAGGCGAGAAGCTATAAATCGTCTAAAGAACCATAAGCATTAATAGTGATTTTCTTCGTATTTTTGTTGAGCAAACGCGAGGTGTTACTATTCTTTGTTCACGATTAAGCTGACGTTTCGGCGGATTTCGCCTTCTTCAGAGCCTGGAAAGGTCAAGTTGATAGCAACTCACTCGGCCAGACGCCTCCATAACCAAACAAAGAAACTCCAAACCAAGATTTCAATCACTTTGAACACAGCTTTGCACACTCACCGCTGTTAGTAGAAAAGACCAAATACCCCGCTAGGCACGCATAGGACCCAGAGACATAATGGGGACGACTTCGAAGTATGTGTCACGATCCTCGCACGCGGATCAAGAACACAGGCGTGAAAAACTCTCGAGGCACTCTGGATTAATTCCAGAAATCCGAAAATGAACCGCAGGGAAGAATGCCTCATTATCACGCGTGATATAGGGCAGTATATAAAACTGCTTTTCTGATGTGAGAGGCACATTATACTTCCACGTGATTTCTGTGCGGTTGGTCTCTACGTGACATACTTAGTGGAAGCCTCATAGAAAGCGGTGAGTGTGCAAAGCTGTGTTCAAAGTGATTGAAATCTTGGTTTGGAGTTTCTTTGTTTGGTTATGGAGGCGTCTGGCCGAGTGAGTTGCTATCAACTTGACCTTTCCAGGCTCTGAAGAAGGCGAAATCCGCCGAAACGTCAGCTTAATCGTGAACAAAGAATAGTAACACCTCGCGTTTGCTCAACAAAAATACGAAGAAAATCACTTGATCAATGCCGAGGTTAATAGAAAGTCGGTCGTGGCAGCATTAATAGTACTCTAACTCCCATGTTCCGTATTTTAGACCGAGTTTCCCACAATGTAGTCGAACAATCGTTCCAACGGTTTACCGTTTCATCGTGGCTAAGAGGTTCTCCTGCGTGTCGGTCGGGACGCGATGTACCGCGTTGGGATTCATACTCCTGACAAGACCTCTCAAACCGAGCAGTTCGACGTTTCCATCAGCAAGTCCAGCTGACAGTAAACCAATACTAGGAACCACAACTGCACTGGTATGAAACTAGTCGCATGGTGGTAAATCTCTCTCTGATCCACAATGGCGGCGACTGCCTGCGGTGGGCGACCTGGAGCAGACTTTGGCCTGGCTGACCCCGGAACTCCAGAGAACCACAGTGGCTAAACTAGCAGGAAAGAGTTACAGTCCAAACCAACCGAGTAATATCGTAAACAAGCAAAGCACCAGCAGCTCCTCTGTAATACGATCGCGTGATAGACCTGAACGATTCTTGCCCTGAAGAAAAGAAAAAAATCATTGATTGACTCAAATAATTCAAGACAAATACTGAGCAGAACGATAGAATACCTGCGGTATCCCAAATTTGCAGCTTGATTTGTTTACCGTCAATTGTAACCATTCGAGCTCCAAATTCGACACCTAAATTAAACTTTAATACGGATTTAGTCGTTTTAAAGCACAACCTTGTAGAAGAATACATACTCCACATGTTTTTAAATTGTTGAGCTTGCAAGAGGTTGATAAATATATTTACTTTGGCTGACGTTTCGACGTTTACCTCTGCATCAGAGCCGATGATCCGAGTCGATGGTCCACAACATTCGATGGGTCAACAATTTAAAAACATGCTGATTACTTTACTACCGAGGTTAAATGATGGTGGGTTTGAAAATTGACATGCTCCACAGTTCTGGATAACCCTTTTGAAATTCTGATGTGACACAGTGACACTAGAAGAGATAGTGGAGATGAAAACTGCATAGGACATGCAGCCTTAGAATGGACTATGGGAAAGCAACTGTTGCAAATATTGCATTTCTTTCAAATGAACGAAAAGAAAGTTATGAGTCTTTCCCTCGACCCTGCATTTCATTAAGGGAATTTCATAGAAATTTCCTCCGAATCGAGATGTGGTTCTCAGCTGAAGAGGTTAAAGACAACGGAGGAACGCTCATACCGATAGTGAGATCGTGAACAGGTTGGAAGCGTTTGTCGGTGAACTGCAACAGGAGACATGACTTTCCCACGCCAGTGTCGCCAATGATGATGTACTTGAACAAGTATGCGTAGGACATCTTCTTGAAAATCGCACTTTATTAAGGCAGTCGAGAGTTATAGAATCACAGAACGAAACAGGAGGAAAGAAAGAAGGAAAGAGTAGCACGATAGAAGCAAGGATACAGAAGGATATCACAATCACTAAGTTACGCTGAATGGAATTATTGCTCATTAGGAGGTGAAGGGAACGGAAAGATCAACAAACCCAAATTTACCAGACCCTCTGCGTAGGCTTAATCATTCTTATGCCAATCGTATTGAACAAAATGAATTTGAATGAAGATGAATCACTTTGTAATCGATACCTATCTAAACAATGCAACAATAACGGAAAGCATTGACAGATCACTGCATTAGGGGAATTTCTCTGTGTTGTCTACTCATAAGTTTCTAGTGTCTCTTTGCCCAGACACATTCCATTTCTTTTCTTCCAACCAAAAGTTTGCTGCAATCATTCTCATAGGACCTTCTTGACTATATACATACAACTTTGGGACCACACAAAGAGACGAACAAGTAGATGAACTGGAGATATGGCAGCATTGCCCTACTGCTCTACTGAAATCAGGTTAAAGTGATAGGAATACCTTACTCACGACTCACTCACTCAAGGGTTCACAAACCCCTGCCGATTTTTCAGAACATGTCCACTGACAGAATGCACGATACACCAGTCATGGGACGACAAGATTCGAACAAGTTGGGAGCGCCAGGAGGACCTGGAGCTCCAAAGGGACCTCGCAGCCTTGCCGAGACCGAGACGGACCGCCGTTATCGACCGCTCCCGGCGGGCGGTCACCACGCGCCCATCGACCGACCGCCCACTAGACTAAAGGGTCGGCCGTCCTTGCGACGGAGCGCACTTTGTCGTGTTAAGTCCGTCACGTGTTCAGCAACACTTCTCGTGGCGAGAAGGTAACGGGCTCGTTCGAGAGGGTGGATGGGCGTAGAATGGTGGCGTTCAGGAATAACTAAGTGTTCATCGAGTTACTTTCGCCTTATTCTACGTTAGAAGAACTGTAGTGTTTTATGGTTTTTTACATGGTTGTGCTGATACGAGGTTGATAAGAACTTTTGTTCGGCTAGCGTTCTGGCGCTTTTGCCTTCCTCAGGGCGGCGTTTTACCATTCTAGTGTCTTGAGAATTTCTGTCCATGCGTAAGATATGAGGTGAACAGCCGAGGCAGTAGCTCCATTACTGCTCCACGTAGTCAAGTCTTCCAGCTTTCCTTTGTCTAGGATTTTTGCATGCTGTGAAAATCAGAAGTACGATCGCGCTTGTTGCAAATCCACCGCTGTCAGAGTCTGTATAATAATTTACAATGCCCAAAGACAAAAGTCCGCAGGTTAGATGAGCTCTGAGATCACGGAGAGAGACTAGGGTTTCGAGAAATATCCCATGGACGGCCAGTTACTATCAAATCATGTGACCAAGGCAATCAGCTATAGTTCACCAGTGAACTGGCACTAGCCAGACGAACTTGAAATGACGGAGTTACTAGTGCTATATGCTAGAATAACAGTGAATTGAAGCGACAAGTGTACTTGATCATGCGAATGCCGAACACTGAGCCGACGGGTTCTGCGAACACCGCCGTCCGAACGGGTCACGTAGTTGCATGGCGCTGGCTAATTTATTTCTGTTATCGTGTTAGTCGTTCGAAACGAATGTCTTCATTTGTATTCAATACATTAGGAACTACAACTAACATCGAAAAGCCGTAGGATGAAAATGAGAGAATCACCTGATTGTCAAAATTGCAAAAGAGCGATGTTGTTCCTGCAGATTCGCTTGGATAATTTTCATAAGGATATCGATCTACTGCTAGATTATGCCTCGTCAGCCAACGATTGAGTCTGAGATGTGACGTGCTGAGTGCGGAAGAGGCCTTGGATTTGTAAGCACCGCGCCGTGGTAAATGCGATGATGAGTGGTCGTCCATTAGATCGGCCTGTTGGCTTCGCTGCTTTACTCGACACTTTAGTCGCCGATGATTACTGTGCACTACTCGGGAATTCTCCGTCGTAGGAACAGAACCTGGTGGATGTCACATCGGAATGCTACGCCTTGAAATGACGATTCTGTGGATATATTTACTAGGAATCATCTGGCTTCAGTGAAGTTCGTGATCAGTGAGACACTGGGAAGACTACGGTTTCTGCTCATGTGGATCTGTTGGATATGAGAATGGTTCAGACTTGGAAGATGAATGAGAGCCTCGGAAATCGAATGCGGACAAATGAAAGGACGCGTACACATCGTAGGGTTCGTTCCGATTGTAGCGCGCATAAAAGATCCGAGCTTTTTTCGGTGCCCACTAACCGGGTATCGCTCGCAACAACATGAGGTTCGACTTAAGAAACCGAAACAAAGTGGCCATTGCAGTCAAGAAATGCCTGGTCAACGAATTAAAGTTCATGGAAAGTCTTTTGATATTAAAAGCTGGAACTGCTGAGGCTCTTCTTCTTTAAGGTTCGTAGATTCTTTTCCAATTTCTACCGAGCAGAGCAGAGGAATTAGTACTGAGCAAAAACCGTATTTTCATAAATTTAATTCTCAGACGTTGCACAAAAACGACGATTTGAACAAACCTCCGTTACATCGATCATCGAGGGTGGACAAGGAAAAGCTGACTCCATTGCGGACAACGTAGCACCCGTAGTGAATGACGTCGATAGTTCGGACGAAGAAATGATATAGTGGGATTGGTGAAGAAGACGATGAGGTCAGCGATGAGTGGTCAAATAATGAACTGCCTTACGCCCTCCGAAGTTGGTCATTCCGGAATGGGTCAACAACCTAAGCATGGATGCACAGGAATCTATAGATTTTAGTAAAAGATAAGACTGTTGGAAAGGTCAAGGGATTCCATGGAATCTCCTTCCGTATGAGAATTGTTAAACTACCACGACCGTTGAAGTGCAGGAATTTGAGAACTGATCCTTTTGGTTATAATCTTACTGAGTGCCAATTTATGGCTTTGCACTGATGATCTACTGTGACGAGATAGAAGGAACAAAGTGAGAAAGTTCGTGATCCAAGTCATCTTGAGGTTAGATTTTTAGGAATAGTAGTGCGGAGACGCTCTAAAGAAGGAAGAAACGTTGTATTACCCAAAATTCTATTAAGGGCTAACTCTAAAGATAGCTATAAAAGGACACATTTCAATAACAATAAAAAAATATAAACTGAAGTCCTTAGAGCAAAATTTTTGATCACCATTAACTCATTACGGTATGCCAGGAGAAAGTGCGTGAATCATATGTGACTTATAGTTTCGGTAGTGAGCTAAAAACAACCGCCTAAAAGCGCAGTGGTTAGTAATCCCGTCGACCAGGAAGCAAAGGGGCAAGTTGGACTCCTTCCCAATTCACGCCTTCAGTCAATCGACCATTATGCTAGGACATTCATGTTTAAAATGAAATCCTCAAGCAGCAGAGGAAACAACAGGCGAAATGTTCGAAGAACAATGTGGGTAGTGGAGGCGAGAAAAATGAATCCAATACAAGAAGAGCTAGGATCCGCACAGTAGATGTGATTTCGGGACACGTATGGAACAAATCGAGTGGTCGTCACCAGTACCATCCGCTTCGAAAGAAACAATCGTCATAGATTGTTCTGATTCACACTGGGAAAAATCTCTTCAGCTATCATTCAGCACATTGATGACTACAATAAAGTCATCACCAACGACTGTAAAATAAAAGTACGATTTCTGTATTAACCAACTTCTAACGAGCTAGACATCGAGAATAGATCTGATAGATAACTTCAATGATGCTAAGAAATTTGCAAAACTCCGGACCGCAGGTGTATGCGGTGGGGAACGAACGCGCTATTGTCCTTTCCAGGGAGTAGCGCGTTCACCACTACACCACGCGGGTCCTTAGTTTCGCCTGTCTCTCAGCTAGTTCTATTGATCTTTTGCCATCAGCAATCACCCGTCAGCGGGATTGATCTGGAGGGCCCAAATCGGCAACGAACTGAATTAAGCTGAGGCCGCAGTTATAATCACAATTTCAACTTATTATTCACTGCCGACGCTTTTTAACGGCAGGGTATTTATTGCGAAATATCTATGGACAATATGTGGATATTCATCACCCACTGATTACCAGCATCTGAAATCGTAATCGGTGCAGACACTCTATGAACTATTCAAAGGATTGAGCAAGAACTCAGCGTTACCGAGTCAACAATCACATCTCATAGGTTTAAAAAACTGACCTCAATTTAGCCTAAGAGTCAATAACCAAGTTTTTTCAAGAGTTTTCTTTCTTATTGTGCCTAACGATTAGGCGCCATCGCCTTATTCAGAAACTCGTGATTCTGCTAAAGAGTCCACAACAGTTATCCCTTGGGCTGTGTTAGTATTCGCCCTCGCATCCAGCGGAATTCGTTGGATCGAAGCGCCGCACGAATGGAATAACCTCACTTAAGTGCCCAACGTCTGAGACGAAATGGAGACGTTCTAAGTTCTAGGACAAAATCTGCCACTCTTTTACCATTCACCACACATTGTAATCATAAAAGGCTAGGCTCAACCAACAGCGCACGTTCCAAAAAGGACAAACCTATATTGCAATGGACTGATGATCGAACTTGCACATCACTTACTATTGGCTATCAGACAATTTCGAAGGTCACAACAAGGTCAACAACTTTTTTCCGTCATTCGCAAATGCTCTACACCGAGAAAATGGTCTGTGTCATTAATCGTAATAATAATAGAGATTCCTCCCAACGGTCTACCGTCGCATCGTGGCTCGGAGCTGTTCCTGGGTGTCGGGCTGCGATTTACAGCGGAGGGATTCGTCCGCCCAGCAAGGTCTTCCAAGCTGAGAAGGAGTCCGCCGTTTTCATCAGGAAGCCCAGCCAAGAGTGAACCGATACCAGCATCCACCACCGTTCTGGTATCAAACTAGTCGCATGGTGGCAAATCTCCTTCTTATCCACAAGGTAGGTGACTGCTTGTGGTGGTGTCGACCTGACACAGACTTTGCCCAGGTTAGCTTCGGGACTCCAGAGAAAAACAATGACTAAACCAGCAGAACTCCGAAAAATGGAGAGTATGCTGGAGTTCGCGCAATTAGTGAGGACGGGCCATTCGAGTATCTAAGTAAGTAGGTAACAGTAGAGATTTTAACTTAAGCACATAGGTTGCAATTAAGAATTGTCATTCGGCCTGATAAATGTAAAGTGGCTAAATGATAATAGTAATCCTAAACACTTCAGAATTCTTTCTCATTCCTAGCAGTGCAACGACGCTAAACGAGCGGTAGTGTACGAGCGACTCATCTTCCTTCAAATTGGATGGTGCGTGCATCTTCAGATGTTTCTACGAAGAACTCTAGTACGCTCCACTTTATGGCTCGTGCTTGAAATTCTCAGTGGCTTAAGGCAAATGAAGAACTTTCTTTGGCATCGCACTACTGGGTTTTGAAGCTGCAATGCAGTCTTGAATTTGCCCCGTTAACAAAAATGGTTGCTAAAATGATGGCAGTTGTAAAAATCCTAACAAGCCTTCGAATGCTTTTACTTCCAGCTTTTCTGGGAGCCCCTCGTATTGATAGAGTTATGGAATATTTTATAAAAAATATATACACTTTTAAGGCGATACGGTATCTTCTAGATTATCAGCCATCGAACTAACAAACTCTAGGTTTTGACATTTCGTTTCGTGAATTTTCCATTTTCCCGTCCTGCAAAAAGAATGTTTAGCGAAGCAGATGTTTAACGTAGACAACTGCTATATCACCTAACCTTCGATTTACATGATCGCTTTCATTGCGTCGGTCTCCAGCGGGAGATGTCCATGTCCCTCGTTCAGAGGAGAGCGTCTGAACTTGTGAGTTACTATGAACGCATTCGGTCGCCATAATAAACTCAGCCAACCGCTCAACCTTTTCGTTAGAATCCACTCTGCGGATTGCGGCGCAATGTTCTTCATATGCCTTCTTGATGGCACTCTTAGTTTTGAATTCTCCGACGATGAATTCCAGGATATGAGCACACCTGTAAATTTTACAGAGGCACATTAAACAACTGGACATCATTGCCATCGCAATCTAGTCTTGCGCTTGGGTGAAGAGGGATAACGAAATGAATGCTGGTCTCTTTTTTAGCGGTAAATCTTTGAATGGTGGTTTTAATATTCAAGGCCGAAGTGGTGATGATGGACACCAAAATCTACTAACTCGTTTGCTATTGCGTGGTCCAAGGATCAGTTGTTCTTCCATTGCTAGGAATGGAATTTAGTGTACTGTACCTTTCCTCGGTGGAAAATTCGCTAACATCGTAATTTATCTTTCTGCCTTTCATTGCCAAATCCTCAGTGGGAGTTTCCAACGCCATTTCCCAGGGTGCGTCCATTGTGGGTACAATTCAATATCATAGTGCTTCCAGATCTCGGTAGTTTAGAATGTCCTTTAGGTTTTGCCAGTCCTCCGGATCGTTTCGCTGGTGCCTCTCTGAGCCTCTATGAAGCGTTGCGCTTTATTTTTACTTGGTGAGAGATATCCATAAGTAGCTCACCCATCTTTCGACTCCCACAACCTTCATATTCCTAGCAGTTGATTGGTTGTAGACCCCCAAGCGGAATGTATTGACGTGATATAATATGAATGCACGTCATGAAATCCACAGAAGAATGTATGAATGCATGTGTAAGTTAATTCGGCGCAGTATAGACATTGTGTCCTTGGTTTGACGCGACCGCGGTTGAGGGTAAATTCAAGGTTGCTTTTAACCCGATTTTAACAAACATTTGCCTTCTTGTTAAAGCACTGCCTAGCCTCATGAACAGTTGCTTGGGAACCGTTGAAAGATAATAGAAGAGCTTGCATAAGATGTAAGTAATCTATTGCCAAAAAGATTATGTAAAAGTGCGTTCAGAAAATCGCAAGGCTAACTTCGTTAACAAGCATTCCTGCATAAGCTCGGTGACAGAACCAAAGCATTCCTTAGCGATTTGTCTTTTCGTTTTGCAATATGAGTCCCAGCAACAGATCTACTATTGAAACAACTTGTCTCTTATACACTACACTTCAAGTGAAGGAAGTGCTAGGATCCAGATGGCTACAGGGAGGATCGAACACGTCATCGCCACACTAGTACAATATGGCACTGCACTACGGTGTTTGGTTGCTGATAGATACTGAGATTGAACAGTAGAAGAAAGCGAACCTTGCGTTGATGTACAAGGGATAAGGGATAAAGCATTCAGCGTTGATTAATACTTCATAGATGCGCTGTACATTCGACCCTACTGAGCATCGCAGAGGTGGTTGAATTAAACCATAACGGTGCTGAGATATTAACAAAACGCAGAATACCAGGTAAATTTCGAACACGTAAATACCCTTTTCAGGATCTCACTTATTACCTACTACATCATCGAGGCACCTGCCTTGCTTTTCTCTCAGCGAGTTTTAACCCCAATAGTGCTATCAGCAATCAACAGTTAACGGGAATGATTAAGGGAACACAAATCGGCACTGGACCCAAATTAGTTGAAGTTGAAGTCGAAATCACAATGTTTAGCTTTCTATCCAGTGTTTAATATTTTTCCGCCGATAGTTGATAGCTTCTGCCGATTGCACGTTAAGGCAAAAAATTGGCTGAGAGGAAGGCAAAGCAAGGGCCTCAGTGGTGTAGTGAATAACACGTGAGCCCCTATAAAGGATAATCGCGGGTTCGATTCTGAACTAGGGTTTGGGTTTTGCAAATATTTCAGCACCATTGTGATTGTATTTCACATAATACCCTGGCATGAAAAAATAGTAGGAAGTGAATAAAAAGTTAAATGTGGTGGTAGCATCCATATCTGGCCAATACAATGAATTGAAATGGCACAGTTCAGTAGCGCGGAGGCGTTGAGGGATCGTATCTCTAGACATTATAACCATTATTAACTAGCACTGTTCGAAATTAAAGCATTCGATCCACCTCATGACTATTTGAGATGCCTTTGTAGTTATCCGCAAGCACTATGATATCTCTGAATCATGGATTTCAAGACAACTTAGTGGTTAGCACCTGTTTGAAAATCTAATTCCCTTTCAGGACCATGGTTTTGTCATCACTTTGCATTTTATATCATTTCTATTCCTAATCAACATTTGCACTAAGAAAAATCGAAATGATGGGAAGTCGGATTTCACCTCGACCACTACTGAAGAGCACAGCAAGTACGTAACCAGTTTGACACTCTTTACAACATTTGCACTTTTCATCAAGCTTACCGACTTTAAATGAGCGGCACTTGAAAGGCTATGCAACGTCTGGACGGGAACCAGCGTCCTTCACTATCCGGCATTCGGACTTCATTGACTTCTGTTCAGATCCATAAATTCCATTGATTCCATAGCCAAGATTCCACCAAAGAAGTCTTTACCAAACCAGGAAAAGGTTACGAAAGTGCGATTGAGGTAGGCAGACTCCTAGATAAGAAAGCTAGTTCTAAGTCAGCGTTTAGCTGCCTCAATTCAGCTTACGCCATCTGAAACAAAGTGGTAGATTCCACTGAATCGAGCACTTATGTCTTCGCAAATTCGTGTACAATACTCTGCTCAATAATAATTTATACTAGTCTAGCTTAAGACCTGATATTCGACGCTATTGTATCTAGAGCGCTCTTCCTCGTCTGTTGAGACTTCGTTCTCGTCGCTCACTTGCTTGAAGTGAAGAACTTGGACCACCGTGCTCACAATGGCCTTTTACAGTCGTTGTCATCTTTTTTGTGCAGTGCCAGCTCAGATGTGTTGATGTGTCAGAACAGAAAGAACTGTCTGGAAAGCAGAAAAGCGACATTCTTGTGACCGCTCCACCATGACACTACGTGGAGCTAAAATATCTGGAGGGAAACTACTTTTAATGAATAACACATTGATTGCAGTCGTATCATCCTCCGAGTTGATCTAGTAAAGAAATTCGTCAGATTCAATTCAGTGTTCGGCAGTGTATCACCTGTAAGTGCTGTGCGGAGCCTCAGTGAGATTGCTAGCAATGTACATGTGATCAGTAGTTTCCCACCTTTATTGAGATTATATTAAACTTCCTTCAATATGTCAAAACCACCAAAAAATTTGAAGATAATGAGATATTCAAATGAAATGACTATCAACGAAGGTAAAGCTCTCGGCATTGATCAATCTCTGAGTGATGCGCCATGCATTCTTCATTAAGCATCGTTGGAGGCGATTAAATGCATATCTGGCCTTTACAATGACTCGCGGTGGCGTACCGATGTGTTGATCCAGTGCTGCTATCCTCCTAGACAAGTCTGGTACCAATTTGCCGACACCGGAGTGATCGAAGGTTTGGTGAGCCTGGGGCACGGAGATCGATCCCATGTGTAATGCAGGATGCCTCCGCCCACTGCGCCACACGCACCCACGCCCATGCCTAACGAAGTTAAAGAAGTTAATTATCTCATTTTCTAGAAGACAACATGCATTTAATGAATGATATTGGCATTTGGTAAACCATCTATCAAAACAATGTTTTTTATCACATGGTCAACATGTAAATCTCGTATTTTAGCAGTCTCTTCAAATTATTCGTTCAAACTTGCATCATATCGATCTTTTTATTTCAGATACTTATGTTTTTTCTATCATTGGTTTCACAAAAACAATAAGTGAGCGTAAATCTAATCAATTCTGAGGCAAAACAGATGAGTTACAGGGAGTTGGCCGAGGAGACGAGCTTGTCGCGATCCAAACTGCAAGGATCCTCAGAAGCAGAAAGCGATAGAGCAGCACAGCTCCCTAAGGTCCTATCGAAAGGAGATCAAGAACGTTTATTGTTGTCTTTGGCCACTCTGCAAGAAAAGCGCCGAAAGCAGGCGGAAGTGGATCGCGCAGCACGACAGCCGTGTGAGTCCCCCACTTTGGCAGTTACGCCTCAGGGCGGCACTTCACCCATTGGCAACGAAAGTGAAACTAACAAGGAGGATGGTAAAGTTATGGAAACCCTACGGTCGCCAGCGATACCGGCAGAGATTGGCCACACTTATAGTAGCGACCAAACAGAATCAGCACCTCAAAGCGCTTCGAAATGAACTTGAATTAAGAACAAAAGCAATTGTAATAGCTAAACAATGAAATTATTTTGGTTAATAAACGATCAATAAAGCTGAATTAAACATATGAGCGAGAAAAAGGAAGTAGCCAAACATTTTGAAAGAAGAGATGGAATACAAACTCAGTCGAATAATCAATCGTTTTCGTCATGCTGAAATACGTCCCTGGATGCGGAGGAGCGACGTACAGCAGTGTCCTGTAAACAGTATCCATTGTAGTTATTTAACCCTTATGCAACGAAGCTGATTTTTCGACAACTGACGAAAATTCCTCAATAGTTTGAGTTTTTCAGGAGTTCCAAACTTTATAGATTTATAGAAGACTTTGCCGTATGACTTCGGTGTTACAGCTCCAGTGATGGGCTAAACGTGACTTCGTATGGCTTTAAAAATTTTACACAGTTTAGTTTCAAATCCAAGAACGTTTAAAATCAAAACATAAAAAATTGATAATAACGAAACTTGAAAAGGATAAAGATAAAGCTCTCCGCGAGGATCAATCCCTGAGGAATGCGCCATGCATTCGACTGCATTAAGCGTTGTCGGCAGTGATTGAATGAATATCTGCCTTTTACAATAACGCGCGGTGGCCCACTGATATATCGAGCCAGTGCTGCTATCCTCCGACAAGCCTGGTACCAATTTGCCGACCCCGGAGGGATGGAAGGCTTGGTGTGCCATGGGCGCGGGGATCGAGTGTATCGCAGTTGCGCCTTCAACCACTTAGATAAAAAACGAAATTTTGGTCTCTAAAAATTCCAGTCGAAGATTGGCAGCTTCAAGTATAAACTATACATAGAGGAACACCATCTTTTCGTGCTATAGAGAATCTCACTTCTTCATTTGCTTTCGTGTTTAAAGTATGAGTTTTGAAGCAATGAAATGGGCGAAATATGTACCATGGGCTCTAGAAAAATGAGTATTTCATGTTAGCACAACAACAGAACCTTTGCCCTGAAGGTAAAGATTTGCAGATTCCAACTGTTTTATCGCAATTAATGGAATTCACTAGGAGCTGAGACATGTTGACCTGTATTTGGAAGCGGTCACTATTTTCCCATTGTGTAATTTCTATAGAGGTCACGTCGTCTTGTGCGTGCTTCTCTGGAGTTCCGGGGTCAGCCAGGCCAAAGTCTGCCTCAGGTCGTGACCACCACAAGCAGTCGCCGCCATTGTGGATAAGAGGAAGATCATCTAAATATAAAAGGATAAAGCTCTCGCCCTTGATCAATCCCTGAGGGATGCGCCGTGCATTCGACTTCATTAAGTATCGTTGGAGGTGAATGCTGCTGAATGCATACTGGGCCTTTACAATGAGACGCGATGGCCTACCAATACATCGAGCCAGTGCTGCTATCCTCCCAGACAGGTCTGGTACCAATTTGCCAACCGTGGAGGGATGGAAGGTTTGGTGGGCCATGGGAGCGGGGATCGATTCCACGTGTGTGTTGCGGGGCGCTTGCGACCACTGCACCACACGCGCCCCTATCGTGTAGATAGTCTTCACAAAACATTCTCTAGGCATTAAATTTTTATGAAGGCCTTTCAGAAGATTGAAATGAATTTAAATTCTTGAAATTTCCAAAAGAGCGGTAGTTTTGTATAAGTACGGTCGTCAGTTTAGTACTTCCAAGTGTATGAAGCGCCCAATGTTTCCAAGATCTTAGCAGCACTGCCATAATTGTCCTGCGCAAAGTTGTCGTAACGGTCGCTCTTTCAGAAGTAGAGCAATGCACTCTATAAATTCTACTATTTGGTGGTTAATCAGCACAGGCTAGTTTACCAAGCTCTTGCAAGTGGCTTGGGTATATTCACAGGTAGTTTGCTGGTCTCCTAGAGTAGTTACGGAGTTGTTTGCTGGAGTCGACTCCTGAACACTTCCCGTCGATATCCCAGTTACTTGATTGAAGGCTCCTGGCCGAACTGACTTATAGAATGTGCATATAACGCGAACACACGCACCCCGTAAGCATGAATGTCTATATAAATACAGAATTTGTATATAACAGCAGCGCAGCTGAAACAAGGAGTATTGTCCTGGATCCATTTGTCTCTCAACGAAGTGCAGATCACTTTTGATCCACATTTAACTCCTATCTCTCAGTGGCGACACGTCACACGGAGAATCGATTTGCCGGTTGAAGATCTCTCAGTGAGAAGAATCTGTGGATCACCAGCTCCACATGTTCAAAAATCAAGGAATGCCGTTGGTCTAATGAAGCTGGACAAGATGGTGTCCCCAATGTATCGCTTATTTTTGCAGCTGCCGTTCTTGTCTTGAAAACTTTGAGAACTTCAGTTTCGTTACCAATTTACCGAAAATTTCAATCCTAAATGTGTCTAAATATGGCAAAATCTTGCATCACCTGTATCTCCTGTAGTTCCGTTGATCATCGAGTGACTCGAGCGGGCGCCAGTAAATCTTCCATTTTTCCGTGCCGTGTGCAAGAGAAGCCTCTGCTCGCTCTAGGGACTCGTGGAGCATCATGTCTTTCTTCTAGGCTTTTCGGGAAGAACTTTGACCATGAGGTCGGTGGCATTCCTACAGTGTGTTTGACATCCCGAGGAATCCAATCACTGACGGCCTTTTTCCGTCGCTTCAAAAAGCTTCTTATAAGCTCCAAACTAACTCTGTGTAGCTCCAAACTTCTGAAATACTCTACTGATCAAGAAATCACATTCAATTATGGAAATACCAGCTCAGTCACGAATGTGTTATACTGCATTCTTCTTTTCTATCGCAGCTGAACTTCCTTGAATATGTGAGTGTCCTGTGGGTAAGACTCCATTTCCATTTGACAGCAAATTTGTCGGTTGGCAATGAAACGCTTGCTGTGCTTTTAGTGTTCAATCTTCGTCTTCAAATGATACGAGAAATATTTTACACAGGTCAGAGGACTAGCAGCGGAACACCAGGCACCAGCAGTTTGCAAGTCTTCTGATCGTCATCTTTGAACAAAAAGCTTGTCATTGAGACCCGCGCTATTTTAGGGACAGCGATGATATTTTGTCATCCGAAATGCACAAAAAGGGAAGAACAAATGCTCCAAGTTGCCGGATTAAAATGCAGGTAATGTAGAGTACACTCGAGCAGACGAACGAAGAAATATTAGCTGCTATTCTAGAGCGTTCCAGTGCAACTACTCAAGTACGCGTTCTTGTAAACGTAACATATCGGTGTTGCATGCGAAGCAATAGAACCGTACAAATCCGTTGGTCTGCTCATTCATCAAATATGTGAAAAAAAACTATTGTGGGAAGTGAATTGTACGGATGTTAATGTGTCTATAAGAAGAAAAGAGATAAACAAACTGCCTAGATATTCTGGAATGCATTTAAAACACCACCCTCACCAAGAATTTTTGTAATCTATTTGATCCGTCTTCACGTCTACCGTGCAGATCCCAGCACTCCTTACATTCGATTCGTTTCCTCACATCCATCATCCACGATGGTCTTCCAAGTTTTTGCGCGTGGTTTCAGTTGCTGCTTGAGAATTTTCATTTCATCCTGAGTGTCGTAGAATGTTGATCGAGCAGTCCTCCCTCGAGTCCTGAGATAGCCGGGCTGGAGCGCTCCCAATTGCATTGCACAAAGCGATTTTTTCCCAGACAAGTCCGGTACCAATTTCCCGATCCCGGAGGAACGAGAGGCTTGGTTGACTCGGGTCGGAATCGAACTAGCGCGATGCTCGTGATGACGAGCATCACTACCACTGTGCTATTCTCACTCTTACCATGAATATATTTTCTTATATACAGAAGTCAAATGTCAAAAAGAGTGAAAAAGGAACGTACAATCCATCCTTTCAATTAGGAAAGGAAGAAACAAGGAGTCGAAGCCTTTAGAATACACGGTCACTGTTCGTGGGCGTCCAGTTACCTAACGTCACCATTAGTCATAATTAATGAGCTCGGAATACCTCAGCGAAGTAGGTTCATGAATATGTAGACATACACTCATAGCACATTGTTAACCACAGAAGGTTTTCCACCTGACTTTCAGGGTTCGCACTAGGACCTTTTATGTTTTTCCGAAAGTCGCACGAAGAGCTTACCCCTTTGCGTTAGATTATTGTGTATACCTGTTTTCTTTTCAACCACTTGCGTAGCTGTCAGTGTACTGACGCGATGACATCATTACCTTTTCTTTCAGCGGCCACCAAAAGATGGAGGCGCAATGCCAACTGTATGTGTTGCCACAATGTAAACCTGTACGAGAACAGGACGCTAGCCCACTATTCACAACAGATGCTATCTAAAGAGGACTAGAATGTAGTGGTAGCAACTTGTTAGACTTCTATATTTCTTGACTTTTGTACTACCTTTCTATTAGAATTACCGTTTCCTGTGGTACAAAAAAAATAATACACAGTAATTCCTCGTATTCTTGTTGAGCAAACACGAAGTGTTACCTTTATTCTTTATTCACGAATAAGCTGACGTTTCGGCGGATTTCGCCTTCCTCAGAGCCTGGAAAGGTCAAGGGTTAAAGGTTTGAATAATACACAGTACGAACAGCAGAGATTCAGCTGCAAATATCACTCCTATCACTTCAGCAAGCACGAGTTGTTTCATATGACAGGTTTGGTAAGATTCTCGACCATTGTCATACCGGAATAGAGCATAACTTGTGAGAAAGGGAAAACATGTGTGGCAGCATTAACTAAAGTCTTCAGAAGAAGTGTTGCGCCACAGCAGCTTAGGCAATCGGTAAGTCAGGTTCCCTCAAATTTTCACTGATTGTTAGTTGTCTGCGTAAATTGAAATGTGAAGGATATAGTAATACAAGAGAAAGTTTTTAAGAATTTCAATGCAAGAACAGCAACTGAAACACAAATGATACATTGAGAACACACCATCACGCTCTGGGAGACAAAATTGCGCCTGTTCAAATCGGTTCGTGTTTGGAGTTCAAGCTCTGACGGAGAAAAATGGGAAATGTATAAGGCATTGCGACAGGCAGAATTGCATTTTGTA